AGCTTCCTAAGGAAGGGGATAAGGGAAATAAATATTAAAGAAGTAAATCTAGGAAGGCAGTTACCTAGAATAATCCTAACTTCTGGAAGCAAGAAAATTTTCTGAAAGATGGAAGACTTAGGTAGACTGTGATTTTATAGGTTCTTGCAAGTGGTAGGGCACAGATGGAAAACCTGGCTCAATGTCATCTACCAAGGGGCAGACACTCAATAGGGACATTACTCTGAACACAAGACCAGACCCCCCGCCCCCGACACACCCCTACCCAGATTTAAACCTAAATAATTGAAAAGCAATGTTCTGTGAGATTTTTCAAAGGTCTCCACCCAATTCAATGTAAGTGCCTTACTTTCTCTTCCTTCCCCCCACCCCACACACCTAGTGTTTCCCCTCCTCTATTTCCCCCCGCCCTTCTGCCTCTTTCCCACTTCTTTCCTCTGGTCTCCCTGGTCTCTTGTTCTCTCCTCTTTTCATTCCAACCTTGGAGCAGCAGGGCTGTCCTCTGTTCATGTCCTATATCCATTTTTTAATGAAATATATTTCAGGAAGCCTATTGATTAGCTCCATGACAAGTGCATAATTTATAGGAGCAGCTGGGCCCCAGCACAGGAAAAATCCTTTCACTTTTTCTCAGTATGGTCTTATCCCACTCCCATTCCCCCATAGCCCTCTTTCCTTCTCCTTTACTGGAGGATGTTAGCTATGAATTCCTTAGACTTTGTCCTTCTATTTCTTTGTCCTGTCTTCTTGGGGAATAGTAGGGTCTTTCCTAAGGTGTTATCTTAGAAGTGATCTCATCTTAATTATTATACTTAAGGGAATCCTCTAAGAAATTCCTCTCTCTCTCCTATATCAAGGTCTTTGTTTCTTACCTCCAAAATCTTAACATTGTCCTGCCCGCCAAATTAGGTTTAGCATTTGTAGTATTGTTTAATCAAATCTCATGTTTCTTGGTCTCAACTTTGAAGTTGGGGGATTTTATATATTGTGCTTATAAGTTTCTTATACTTGCAGCCTTCGATTAGAATCTTTTCGATGGTATTTCCATCCTCTAAGATTGGTAGTTTTCTGTGACTTTAAGAAAGAGAAGAGATTCCTAACAATGGCTATGAGAACCTTTGTAAACACAGGAAGCACAGCCTTTTTATTTGAGTCTAAGGCCCAACAGATCTGACTTCTCCATGAATGTCTGTCCTCAGATCATCTATATATTGTTGGCTATTTTTTAAAATCCTAAGTAGAGAAGTTAGCATACTTGGGAAGCTTCTGAAATACTCTATTATTAGTACCTTCAAGATCTGGCTCCAAATTTTCTCTTAGTAGAAGGCTTCTGGGACTCACCCTATGTTCGATCTGCAATGGCCACTAAGAGTTAATTTTCCTATCACTGTACTGTATTTGTGTGTATTTAATCACAGAATAGTGGTAAAATATATGGGGCTGTGGGGAAAGATGTCTGAACTTTAAACTTCAGTTTCTACTGTGTGACAGTGGATGAGTTACTTAACCTCCCTGCCTTTGTTTCACCACTTAAAAACAGGGATACAATTATCAGTTAGAGAAAAATTTTTAAGGATTAAAATTCAAAATAATTCTTGTTATGTGTACATAGTGCTGACTATATATAAGAAATCCTTATTATTATGTTATTGTACTTTCTTTGCATTTCCAACTAAATTATAAATCCCTTGAAGTCAGACATTTACATTAATCAAATACAAAGCAAATTTATACGCAATTTTGAGGCAAATCACTTAAAGCTATGGAGTATATTCTGCATATTCTTTTTATACCTTTAAGGTATTTATAATTGGTACTAAAGAAACAAATATGAACATGTTTTTGGATTTCAGACAGTATTTTGTTTTTTCCTTCATTAAACCTAGTTCAGTGCATTACAAATAGAAAGTCAACAAACAATAATTTGAATACATATAAATTATTCCTACAAGACACAAGTTTTGATTTAAAACATAACTTAAACAGGGGTGCCTGGGTGACTCAGTGGGTTGAAGCCTCTGCCTTCAGCTCAGGTCATGATCTCAGGGTCCTGGGATCAAGCCCTGCATTGGGCTCCCAGCTCAGCAGGGAACCTGCTTCCCTTCTTCTCTCTGCCTACTTGTGATCTCTGTCAAATAAATAAATAAGATCTCTTTTTAAAAAAAAAAACATATTAAACATATTGTAAATGTGTAGTTCGTTATGCTGAATGTAAAAGCAGTATTTACAATATTTATGTAACGTAGTTCACTTAGGACCTCTCTCCTCCAAATTCTTAGTCAAGGGTCCAGTTTTCTGAAAGTACTTAATGGTATTTGGACTAACTACCTTTTAAAACACATTAAGTTAACACATTTGGAACATACTTTAAGTGAGGTTACATACCGCTTGTGTTACAAATGAAAAATTCAAAGGACTGCCTTAGGACCTATTGAGTACAGATGAAATTCTTAGAGCTTTCCTTTGCTCCTCTCTTAGTAGAATATCATCCCAGTTAGTACTATCCTAATCAAATCAGATGAAAAGGTGTCATGCTAAGCCTCAGAATTATAGAATCCTATACTTTGGAGACTGAGGTTAAAAAAAACAAAAGATAATAAAATTACCTCCCTCATTTTATAGATTAGGAAACATTCTTTTCAATTAAGACTGTTTTCGGGGCACCTGGGTGGCTCAGTGGGTTAAAGCCTCTGCCTTCGGCTTAGGTCATGATCCCAGGGTACTGGGATCAAGCCCTGCATTGGGCTCTCTGCTCAGTGGGGAGCCTGCTTCCTCCTCTCTCTCTCTCTGCCTGCCTCTCTGCCTGCTTGTGATCTCTCTCTGTCAGGTAAATAAACAAAATCTTTTAAAAAAAAAATTAAGACTGTTTTCAAAACAACATTCATGCCCTTTTAAGTTATTTACTCTAGTTTTATCATTTATTTTCATGCTGTGCAAATGACCACAACTCAAAATACCAGTGTGCTCATGATGTAATGTATTTGAGTAGGGTCCTTCCTGTATAGTTTTCTCTAAAGAACCCTCTGAGTCTTCTGGAGAATTTTCCTTGTGGTAGCAAAGCCAGGAGCCAGTGGTTTTCCTTTGGATACTTTTTAAGAGAACATTATCATGTAACATCTAGGACCAGAAAGAAATCTTTACGATACATATGTTACAGATCTTTACTTTTTAGATTTTTTTTTCCTCTAAGAGAAAAGCCTTAAACATTTCACATAAAATATGTTGTTAATTAATAAACTGTCAAGCAGTGCTAGATTCCACTACTGTGAGTCCATTTAAACATGTACCTGAAAAGTTAATAATTCATTTTTTTCCCAATGAAATATAGTTTTGAAGTGCTCTGCTTAAAATTTTGATATATTCAAGCCATGAAAATGAGTTTTTCAATAAGGGTGATGTTAAGGAAGTCCCAACCTACAATGCTAAGGTACTTAATAGAGCTAACTGTGATGAATCACTTTAACCTAAAGAAACAGGATTGGTAATAAAACCCCCAAATCATACCTTACTCATTTTGGAGTTGTAATTGGCCTTTACATCGATCTCTGTAAAGCTGTACTTAATACTTATTTCTAAAACCATATAGTGCAGCCTCTGATCTCGAAATGTATTGGGCAGCCAGATATGGGGACGTTATGTTGCTCAGAGGCGGTAGATCTTAAGCAACGTGAAATACTAGCATGCTTACAATACCCGTTTAGAGAATAAGTTACCAATAGCCTCAGTTGACTATAATTTGGTTAAGAAAAAATATGGAAATAAAAAGTAAAAAGCAGACTAGAAGGGCAGAAAGACACTCTCCCCTCCCAAACCTCCCTCCTTCGAACGCTCTTGTTCCCTTGAAGTAGCAGGTTCCAGCAAGTGCTTGGAATCTGGTCTCTGCGAAGCTAGGAGCACTGCAACAGCAGGGCGTTCCCAGCTGGGGACTGCTGGCTGCTTGGAACCTGCAGACACCTGGCATAGTTCTTAAGGGCCCTAGAGACTTCTGTTTTGGACCCGTGGGCTCTAGAGTTTGTAGTCAAAGGCTGTGAGCAGTCAGCAGGGTTTCCTGTGTGTCAGCAACTTCGCCTTGCCGGATAGCTGGCGGAAGAGCGAAGGGGCGCTCACGGGCCAATCGCTCCCCAGCAGCCCCGCGGACCAAGCGCCCCCTCACCCTCGGCGCCTCTGGGAGCAGCGGAGGGGCAGAGGCTGAGCGCTCTCAGTCACCGTGAAGACCTCCAGGGAAGACTGCTCTGGCTCCAGGAGGACGCTCTGAAAAGCTCTGGCGGGCAGCGGGGCTGGCTTCGCCGAGGCACGCCCCTAGCCTCCCGGGAGCCCAAACTCCGCCCATCCTCGCGGGGAGCCGCCTGCCCCCAGCACTCGCCCGAGCAGGGCCTTGAGGAGGGGCCCTGAGCTGCACTGAGGGTGAACACCCGGCGATCCAGAGGCGCGCGGGTCTGCCGGTGACGCGCGCTCTGATGGCCCCCAGAGGCTGAGCCAGAGCAGGGACCGAGGAGGAAAGAGCGCGGGCCCCCTGAAAGGAGCAGCTTGCTTGCAAGGTAGGGAAAAAGAAGATACGCAAACGAAGTTGATCTTGGGGGAAAGAAGCTGGGGAGCGCCTTCCCCTCGCCGGAACGCAGTACTGAGTTTGGCTCGACCTCCTCGCTGAACCCCCGAGCGCCGTCTCCGCTCTCCTGTGAGGACCAGTGAACCCTCCGGAAAGCGCAGTCTGAAAGTTGTCAGCAGTGCCCTGTGCGCCGGGTTGTGTAACCTCCGCACTGACCAGACGGACGGGGAAGTTGCTGGCTCAGTTGCCAGCCCGGCTTGGTCGCGGCTGCGGGTGGATTTCATGGCCCGCGGCGAATGCGGGGCCGGAGCCGGTGTAGGTTTGCCTGTGTGTGCCCCCTCCCGTGGGGATCCCCGGCGCCCGCTCCCTTCTGCTCCCTCGGTTTTCCAATGCTCGGTGCGTCCCTCGCCGCCGCCGCTGCCCTCTCGCTGCTACTTGCCCCTAGGAGCCGCGGCGTAAGTCAGGAAAGGAGAGAATGACCGAGGTGCTGTGGCCGGCTGTCCCCAATGGGACGGACGCTACCTTCCCGGCCGGCCAGGGTTTGCCCTGGGGGAACGGCACCGCAGCCTCCACCGCGGCTGTTGCAGCAGCCTCGTTCGCGTGCTCCCTGACCAAGACGGGCTTCCAGTTCTACTACCTGCCGGCTGTCTACATCTTGGTGTTCATTATTGGCTTCCTGGGCAACAGCGTGGCGATCTGGATGTTTGTCTTCCACATGAAGCCGTGGAGCGGCATCTCCGTGTACATGTTCAACTTGGCCCTGGCTGACTTTTTGTACGTGCTGACTCTGCCCGCGCTCATCTTCTACTACTTCAATAAGACGGACTGGATCTTTGGGGATGCCATGTGCAAGCTGCAGAGGTTTATCTTCCATGTGAACCTCTACGGCAGCATCTTGTTCCTAACCTGCATCAGCGCGCACCGCTACAGCGGTGTGGTGTACCCGCTCAAGTCTCTGGGCAGGCTCAAGAAGAAGAATGCGGTCTACATCAGCGTGCTGGTGTGGCTCATCGTGGTGGTGGGAATCTCCCCCATCCTCTTCTACTCAGGCACCCAGGTCCGGAAAAACAAAACCATCACCTGCTACGACACCACCTCCGACGAGTACCTGCGAAGTTATTTCATCTACAGCATGTGCACCACTGTGGCCATGTTCTGTGTCCCCTTGGTACTGATTCTGGGCTGTTATGGATTAATTGTGAGGGCTTTGATCTACAACGACCTGGACAACTCGCCTCTGAGGAGGAAATCCATTTACCTGGTGATTATCGTACTGACTGTCTTTGCTGTCTCTTACATCCCTTTCCATGTAATGAAAACGATGAATTTGAGGGCCCGGCTGGATTTTCAGACCCCAGAAATGTGTGCATTCAATGACCAGGTTTATGCCACTTATCAGGTGACAAGAGGTCTAGCAAGTCTCAACAGTTGTGTGGACCCCATTCTCTATTTCTTGGCAGGAGATACGTTCAGGAGGAGACTCTCCAGAGCCACCAGGAAAGCTTCCAGAAGAAGTGAGGCAAATTTGCAATCCAAGAGCGAAGACATGACCCTCAATATTTTGTCGGAGTTCAAGCAGAATGGAGATACAAGCTTATGAAGAGGCAAGAATCACCGAACACCCACTTTTGTAACATGGTAGGATGCTTAATAGAATCAAGTGTTTTTTCCCCCCCTTAAGTTTCTAGTAAGCTTAGAGAAAACTAAGTCCAAGTGAGTTAAAAAAAAAAAAAAAAAGTGAAAACACCCACCCCCTCCAGTTGGCTTGTTTGGGTTCACTTTCAATGCTACCATTTCTAACTAGAAGTAGGTAAAATAAAATTAAACCATCCTAGTTAAACATTTACTTTCTCATCTGCCTTGAAAATTCACAAGCTTTTCTGTGTAAAGGGCACTTGAGTACTACAGCTATTTTGATATTAATAATTTCTCCAAGAGAACTGGCACTTGAAACTTTGAGCTTTCAGTGATCCATGGTAGGAACAGAATCCACATTCTCAAAGTTTAGCAAAATTACTAAACTTGATTCATTTAATTTCGGATGAAGAGATCTCAGCTGGGCGTCGCTTTTGGTCCTAGAAACATAGGTGGTAGCCAGCTGAGCTTCTTCGCAGAATTGAATAGAAAAGTTAAGTCAGTGTAAAAACCTAGAAAGTGCTTATTTCCCAGCTACTTCTAGAAAACTTCTGATAGGTGCTAGATGTTGGGTGGTGGAAGTCTGCATATATTATCTTACAGGAATATTGCATTTGGAACAATCACAGTTCATGTACTTTCCTTGTAAACACTGTGAACTCTTAGACTTCCTGTGATAAAGAACATTTCCTTGCACTGCGGCTGTTGCACACTGCCTTAGGAGTTTGTGTTGCAAAATGAATGCTCACTGATAGCTGTAATAACAATGTAAAAATGCAGCTCTATTACACACCAGGGTTGAAGACTGTTGGCCAAGAGGATGATATTATCAGAGGGAGAATGGTTGACAGTCCTTCACAATGCATAGGCTACAAGCATATTTTCCCAAATGTATGAGGCAACTAAGAGTGGGGAAAAGACGGGGGCTTGTGTGGATGTGTGTGTGTGTGTGTGTGTGTGTGTGTGTGTGTGTGTGTGTGTGTTTAGAGAAAACAATTTTAGAATAAGGACTTTAAAATGGTGAAAGGCTCTCTTTTGCCTCTTCAAAATGTTGGAAAACATTAAATGCACTATTAAAAAAAAGGCAGCAGACTGTACAGGTTGTGTTGCTAGAATGAAAAGCTATAATCCTATAATGGATCTTATATCCTTAAATTTAAAGGAAAACTGCAAATATATGGGAAAGGGAAATAAGAGAATTAAGTTTATGCAGTACATAAGGTACCACAGCACTGAAAAGTTGTGGAGATTACAAATCCGATTGCTAACAGTTTAAGAGAAGACTACTGGCCAGTTCTTTTTTTTCCCCCCTCTTCCAGGCAGTAATAAAAATTCCACAAAATATTTCAGTAATTCTAATAAGAGTTTTCAATGAAGACTGAATTTCAATTGATAATATTAAATATTTGCATTTCTAGCCATTGAAATGGTCAAAATCTATAGAATGTAGAATCAAAATCTATAGAATGTAGAATAAGGTGAGGCAACACAATTTTAACTCTTAATATATCCAATATCAAAGGAATTTCTGGCAAAACTAGCCTCAAAAAAAGCCAGAATTAGAGTTTGCAACTGTTGGTAGACTAACTTGTTGGAAAGCACTTTGTAAGTAAAGTAGTTTGGAGTCTGTCTTAAGGCAAGACCCTGTAGGATACAGAGACAGGACCATCAGGACTTGATCAGTTCCTGTGGTACCTGGGTGGCCTGTGGATTTGTGAGACCTTCAGTTTCTTCTTAGCAGTCTTTGGCCACTAAGATCAATGATGAGAAGCAGTGTTAAGCTTTACTAAAAAGTGATTTTTTTATATGTTTGGATTAATGCGCAGAATTGTAGGACCCAAATAAAAAAGAAACCAGTTAGAGGTCTTACCTACACCACCTCATTTTGAGGAAAGAGATTAGTTAAGGTTCTCACTTGGTTAAGGTCCTCTGTAGCATTCATTGTGTGGAATCCTAAAAGAAAAAGTATGAAATACATCATTACTAATTGATCCCTGTCAAACATCATCCTCAGTGACACAAGATTAAGATCAGTACATTCACCAAAATGGAAATTCAAAGCCTGTACCACCCTTGAACTCATAAGCTAATGGTATATATTTCTATATTTCCTCACCATTCACTTTCTTCCTTTTAGGTCTCAGGATGCCAGCCTGGTTTATAATACATGTTACATACATTGTGTTTCAGCTCCCAGAGGACTTTCTTTGGGGCTGAGGATCCAGTGAGGTGGACAGTGCCAAGAAATGCCCTTTTACTTCTTGGCATGGTTTTTTTTTTTTTTTCCAGTGTTTCTTCTTCATTCGTGATATAGTGGACAATGACAACATGTGAATACATGCCAAATAGTAACAAGAATGATCTTGCCCAACCCCTTCTAGGCACAAAGAGGTCTCCAGGAAGAGTCTGTGATAATGATAAAAACATACAGAGAGTCAGGATGAAGCAGTGATCTATTGGCTGGAAATCTGATGACATGTGACGATGTAAGTAGGTATTTTAATAGTAAAGGCAGAAATCTGTTGGCATTTTGTTGAAAGAACTGCTAAAATTATAGAACTTATCAGTTAACTAAATATCACACTACAAAACTATTTTCATGCCAAGTTCAAGGTATTTTTGGCTCACCACTTGGTGTCTTAGACTCGCTAAGCATCACTGTCCATTTGCACGGAAATGATAAAAATACAAACACAAGAAGAGATACAGCAGAGAGTAGGATTCAGTGTTAAAAACATGACCTTGCCACTTGACCAACTGTGGAACTCTTGACCCTTTCAATGCCACTCTCCATGGATTAAAAAGTTAGATGAACTCCATCTGTTGGGACCTCAGGGGATGTTGTAGAACATTAAAAACACAGCCAGCCAGAGGTACATGAAATCTGCTACTGTACCTTTCCAGGACTCTTCCATTCCAGTCCTTGGCTAGAAATTCTCACAAAGTTCACCAATTATGATGTGGACCTCTGCCCTATAAGTCTTCTCCGTCTCCTCAGACAGTACAGTAAACTTCTTTTGGATACAAGAGACGTCTGTGTTTATAGCAGCTGGAATTGGACTAGGGAAAATAAAGATATGTAAGTAGTTAGGGATATCTTGAAGCTTTAACTTAGTTGGTCAATTTACAATTAACATAATAGTATTTATTGATGAAACTCACAATTCTTCAGTTGTACAAATTAAAAAGCTTTCTTGAAAGATCAAACATGCTGATGTAAATTATATTTATTACAATGTATATATAATGTCACACTAGTGTATTTTATGGAATGTGATGCATAGATAAAATGAGTTATTGTATAGTATGCTTTTCAAATACCAGTATCTTGAAATGTTTGTTGATTTTTTTTATCTAAAATATGAATGTTTTGTGATACAAGTGGCTAATTTTCTCTAGAAGTGCTTTCGCATGTTTACCTTTTTACTTCGAGTTCTCTGTACAGACACACTGTGGTGTCATACTGTGGTAGGCGCTCATTAGTAAATACAAAATATCTTTGCCAGACTGGGTCTGTATTGTCTGTATTTTATATGACATAGAAAAGTTTATATTGTCTTTTCAAGAACTTTAGGATTGTGCCTCCACATATGGTTGAAGCTTCCAATTCTAGTGCGAAAGTTGTCCTAAATTCAAAGTAGATTTCTTACATTTTAGAAGTCTGGAAGAATGGGCATTATAGATAGATTAGAACTTGAGGAAAAACTATGCAGAGAGAGAGAGAGAGAAAGAGGCAGCTGGTGTGATCCCTTACTGTCCTCAGTTCTGCTTACATTTTTGTTTTGTTTCTTCTTAAGGTGAAAGTATAAACTTGAGTTGAGATGGAGTTTCTAAGTAACATGCTACGAGCAAGTTCAACACTGCTATTTTAATGTTTTTGTTGTTCAGTTGATAACTTTAATTTCAAGTTTTATAGTGATAACTGTAAATGATTTGGCTGCTGAACTCTGTTACAATTTTTATTATGTTGTACATTGTATCATACACATCATTACAAATTAATATGAAGGGGAATGTTACATATCAAAATTTGTGACTTTGAATTCTAATATGTTTAGTGTTCTTGCAGAAATGTTTATTTTTATATTATCTGTGATTTTAATATAGTTTAACTAGATTTCTTTGTGATTAACAGTTTCATTGAACGGGGAGTATGGAAACAGTGTTACTTGACATTTTGAGCCTTCTCAGGTTTATCTAAATCAATGGTAGCTTAACAAATTCCAGACTTATTGTACGTAATTGTGTTTTTAATAAAAGGAATGTATATTCCTTTAAGTTTGCATGCAGGGGAGTGTACAATATCGTGTGCTTGTGTGTGTGTCTAAGGCATGCAGCCAACTTACTATCTGCTATTTATAATGGAGCTTTGATATGATCATCAGAATTGTACCTACAATAGACCATTAAAACTGAAAACGTCTCAATAAAACTATGAAATGTGATCTGATGGCTTCTGTGTTATTATAATGTTAATACTCATCAGTTTTGGCAAGTTTTGACACCTATTCTGGCTGGCATGGTATTTATTTCTTATGGCGTGGCCTAGACTATAGAAAGGGAAGTGCTAATTCTGGTGCAAAATAATTTATAAGATTATCATTATTTCAGGGGAAAATACAGAATTGTTATATATTTTATACTAGTGTTTAAATGTTAGCTGTAATCTTTTCTCCTCTAATTTTTATCCATGGGATTAATCATATTAATAATAATCCTTTGTGGTTTCTGTTTATCCATTAGCCTACATTGCCCGCTTCTTTCAAGTTTATTAAAAAGTAAATAGCTGGTCCCGTGTGGTTAAAAAGTATTTAATGGAATGGAAGCATACTTAGAGCATTACCTTTTTCCCTCATTGGAAAAGGTAGGTTTATGATGGTGCTGTGTTGGGTTTTCTGGTTGTCAGCTGAGACAGGTGCCCTGTCATAAAATCCTGTGGGCAGAAAAGTGTAAATCACGTGCAGCCCTTATGATGCATGTCACTCAGTTTTAACTCCTTAATTAGCTGTACTAACCAAACTTCCTTCATAAGAATGCCCCTAATTATCAGCATGGTTGAGTTTTGTGTGTGTGTGTGTATGTGTGTATATTTAGTGCATACGCAGAAATAATAGAGATAGTCATTTTTCTGATTCAAGAATTTACCATAAAGCTTGGAGAATGTTTGCATTTTCAAAATCACTTTGGGATTAGAGTTAGAGAACTTTCTCTCTGCAAGTAAATATACTGCTTTTAAATTCTCTTATTTTAATGAACTGAAAAGTTTATACTCTATTCAGAATGTTTAGAATTTTGTGAGAGTTTCCATTGCACATGTAAAAAGCTTGCCCTGAATTCAAAGTAGATCTGTTATGGTTTGGAAGTCTGACGGGATGGCACCTTAAAGACACAACAGATGTCACTAGAAATCCATGTTAATACTGTGCTTATTTGCTTTAACGCTGTAAGGTTATACTGCTTTGGGGTGGACCCTGGGGATGGACATGTCCAACCAGCATTGTTGCTGGGACCGATCTGTGGATGGAGTCAGGCCCCTGGGCTGAGCAGCTGACAGTACTGCAGCCCCTTAAAAATAGACTCAGATAAGAAGGTAGTGTGATAGGAGGCATGTGGGGGCAGTCAGTTCTCTCACAGGGGGGAGAAATGCACTGCTTTTCCTGATTACCTGATAAGAAAAATAACCAGCATCAGGGTAAGAAATCCTTGATGATAGATGGAAACAAAGGCCATTGAATGATTCAATTTAATCCTATCACCTCGGTTTGCTGGTGAGAGCAAAGTTCTCCATTCAAAAATGGAGCTAGCAAAGAACTCAGGTTCTCATTCCTACTAAAACATTCCTTCCACATGGCAGGACTCTTCAAACTGTAGATCTTGACCCCTTAGTGGGTCGTGATAAGCACAAAACAAAATAGATCAAACTCCTTAATTTAAAGGCTTTGTGATTTTCATTTCAGAAATACACACACACACACACACACACACACACACACACACACGCTCATGCTTATACCTGTGCACATAACACAACACTTACATGTTGACTGGGACCCAGGACGAAGTACATTTGATTTCTTTGAAATCATTTGATTTCCCTGAGGACCCACCCAAAAAGAAACTACACTACTCAGTACAAGGTGGTGCAGGGTTACAGGACTAAGGGATGAGAGATGTTTCTCAAAATGACTTTTAAATAAAGAGGTACTCATTTTTAATTTCGTTCTATGCATCTTTTTTTTTTTAATGTTTCTTTAGATTACATTTGGAATTCCCGAAGAAACGATATTTAGCGTACATCTAGGGATAGCTGTTTGCAGTTATAGAGACTATAACTGACTATAAAGACTATCATTGAAACTTAGGTTTATGTAAATTCTGAAGCTTAGCTCTGCATAATATTTCTGCTACTGCAAATAGTTAATAGCAAAACAGCAAATGTCCACTATGTTTAAGAGCATCCGTTTTGTAGTCAAAATGCCTTAGGTTTGAGCCGGATTCTACCACTTACTGTTGTGTACCCTGGGCAGTTATTTGCATCTCTCGGCTGTGTGCTCCTCAACTACAAATAGAGCATAACTGCAGCTCAGAGACGTTGGGATAATTAAAGGAAATAGAAAATACATACTGAATAAATGGCAGGCTTTTTGAACCTGCTAAGGACTTTGCCACTCCATGTGCTGTTTTGTTGCTATTGTTTCTATTATTTCTTTTGTCTTCTTTCATGCCATGAAGACTTTGTGGATCTCCTAGAAATTCTTTTTTTTTTTTTAAGATTTTATTTATTTATTTTGATAGAGACCGAGAGATCACAAGTAGGCAGAGAGGTGAGCAGGGGTGGAGGGGGGCAGGGGGGTGGGAAGCAGGCTTCCTGCTGAGCAGAGAGCCTGATGCGGGGCTTGATCCCAGGACCCTGAGATCATGACCTGAGCCGAAGGCAGAGGCTTAACCCACGGAGGCACCCAGGCACGCCCTAGAAATTCTTGTTTTGGAATTGAGTGCATCTGGTATTTTCTTTTGGACACTCCATTGAATAGCTGAGGTCAGATAATAAGCAAGTATTGAACTTTTGGATGCTTTGCACTGTGTGGGACAAAGAGATATAAATCAAAATGTGTGCAGCTAAAAATATATCAACAAGAAGAGTCTGCTGACCTCCTTAGCTGGGGCTCACCTCTCAGGTTCACAATCTATTTTCAGTTGCCACAGTCCAAAGTCTGGTCTTTGGTTTTGCAGATACAGAAACTTGATCTCAACAGTTCACCTAGAGTTCACCAACTCTGGGACACTGACTCACACCAAGCAAACTGTGATAGGAGATTCATTTACCAACTAGATGCCAGTTTATGAATATACAAAGGCTGTATCCCAGTCACAATAACAGACATCTGCCATTTTCTCCAATCTAATTA